ATGGCTGTGCCTTGCCCTTCCCTCGACCACTCTAAAAACTCTGTTTTCCGACACACCTACTTGTCCTCCACAGCCTGTTAATTCTACCCTTGAAATGAGATCGCCTCTACTATAGAGCAAGGTGCTCATTTTCAGATTGCTGGCAGGTAAACGCGTCACGTGATCTCATCCCTGCTATTTTTTTCTTCCTCCCATTTTCCTACGGGGCAACGGGGAGTGGGAACCACAGCTTTCGCTGGAAACAAACACACCCATTGCTGATTAGCCACAGCCAGGGCCATGGAGTACAGAACAAAGTTTGAACCCAGTGGGACCTTTAAGACCAACAAAGTCTAATTCTGGGGATAAACGTTTGTGTGCATGAACACTTCAGTATCTATCTGAAGAAGTATGCATGCACACAAAAGGTTATGCCCAGAATCAAACTTTGTTGGTCTTCAAGGTTTGCATGCACACGAAAGATTATGCCCAAAATCAAACTTTGTTGGTCTTCAAGGTTTGCATGCACACGAAAAGTCATGCCCAGAATCAAACTTTGTTGGTCTTCAAGGTGTGCATGCACACAAAAAGTTATGCCCAGAATCAAACTTTGTTGGTCTTCAAGGTATGCATGTACATGACAGCTAATACCCAGCAGGGCTATTTTTGGGCAGGAACGCACAGGAACAGAGTTCCGGCTGGCTTCCAAGTTGGCCACGCCCAGCAGGAACTCATTAGCATAATAGGCCACACCCAACAGCAGAAACTCATCAGGATTGGCTACATTAGGGGTGTGTGGCCTAACATGCAAAGGAGTTCCTGCTCCCAAAAAAGCCCTGGGTTTTGGCAACAAACAAGGTAAACAGAATAAGAAGCAAAAGGTGGGTGTGGCTGGATGAGCACACTTCTGGTAACATAGGGGTGTGGCCTGATATGCCAATGAGCTGTGATGTCAGGGGGTGTGGCCTAATATGCTAATGAGTTTCTGCTGTTGGGTGTGGCCTATTATGCTAATGAGTTCCTGCTGGGCTTTTTCTACCAAAAAAGCCCCGATACCCAGTATTAAATTTTGCTGGTCTTAAAGGTGTGTGTGCGTGCGCACGAAAGCTGATACCCAGAACTAAACTTTGTTGGTCTTAAAGGTGTCACCAGACTCCAACTTTGTTCTGCTCTTTCACCTGAATCTATCTTGGACTCGAGAGTTGCAGTTTTCTTTCGAATCTCGTTGTCTTCACTTTGGGCATCCTCTGCATTTGGAACCAAGTTGCCCAGTTTCCAACCACCGGTGTCGAGTGAGAGCCTGCTTTACTTCTGTACATTTGCCACAAATTTTTTTGGGGGAGAGGGTGCTAACAGAGACTTTGAAGCACTGTAGCGATCTGTCATGCGGTTCCTTGATGAAAGAGCACCAGTGCTTGCCAATCAAAGCTTCCGCTCTGCTTGGTGGCGGTTGAGGCTGAGGGACACCGAAAAACATCTTTCGATACACGTGTCGGCGGCTACAGCTGGAGTGCCGAGGGTGCTTTATGGTTTGGCTGGTGCGACTCCTCTTCGGCCCAGTCTGTGCCGCCTGGCATGAGGAAAGCCAAACGCTGCAACTCGCGCACGAGTCATAACACAAATCTCCTTGATCGATCTGGAGTCGCCTGACGCCATCTGTCCTACTTCTGGTGCTTCAGGAGTGTGCACTCACCCCCGAGGCAGTGACGCCTGGCGGTGATAGGCGGTCCCCTGGATTTCCTTCTGGCGTTGTCCCGGGCTCTGCCAAACCTGTGGTTGCATCCCTGAGGGCTAGAAGCTTTGCTTTCCTTTTTGAAAAAATAATCTTTGTATCTGTTTTAAAAAACCCAGCATATCTTAGCTTAATATACACATAAACAAAACACACCCACTGTGTAGCACCAAAGGCATCAAGTCTGTGTATCTGATCAATTAGTAAAGTACGACCATAGACAGGAGTATTCAAGTATTTGTATATTTAACTTAATGATACACAAGTTAATAAGCAATAATACTGATTAAGAGCAAAGTGGTCCTCATCATTACTATCATCATATCATTGCTAATCTAATCTATTTGTAATTTACACAGTTTTATCTAAATCTTGGTATATTCTGGAATTATCAATAAAAATTATTAAAACCCGGGGGGGGGGGAACACACCCTGAAGTTGATATTATTAAAATATTTAATTTGGAGTGTGCTCTCCGTTGGCGTGAAGCAACAGCGCCAGATAACCTCTCCAATCATCAGAGCCAATTTTGAAACCAGGGTCAGAGTTTTGCTTTTCTAGCACATTTATAATCGCAATCACGGACCGATCCTTTCTCTTTCTCTTTCCTCCAACCCGGCTGCTTTCTTCTGTCCCTGTCGAGGGCCGGCTGCGTTGCAGTTTGTGAAACGGAAAGCCCAATTTGCCTGGCTCCAACCCAAGAGCTGAGTCTGGCAGAATCCTCTTTTCCACTGACAGCCAGACAGAAGCTTCTGGAAACCGCACGTGCGCAGCACCAGCCTCTCCCAGTCCTTTGCCCCGGTGCACGATGTTCACAGGTGCACTGCCTCTGAACATGGAAGTTCAATTCTTCACTTTCCCCCCGGATTTCTGCAGCTCTGTCACCTTGCATATTAGTTGTCTCATGCTGCCGATTGCACGGACTCGCGCTGTGCAATCCGCCTCGAGTCTCGGTGAGAAACGCGGACTGTAAACCCATGTACATAAAATGAATAATAGCCAGAGGCCACCCTGTGCTTGCTCCCCCCCCCCATAGTCTGGCGTTGAGAGATCCACTGCTTCCGAACACAGAACGGATGACAGGGCTCCTGAGCGAGTGCAGAGTACCACTTCACCCACGTGTATGAGATTATTACATAGGGGAGTGAGTCTGATTCCAAGGATGGTCTTTGCACAGAACAGCTCGATTTGAGAGTCCCGGAGCACCTTCGGGACCCACGACATTTGGGAGGCATGCGCCACATCTGACGAAGGGAGCTCTGCCTCGCGAAACCCCACACCCCACAAATCTTGGTGGTCACTAAGGTGTGGCTGGACTCTAATCTGGGAGAACCGGGTTCGATTCCCCACTCCTCCTCCAGTTGCAGCTGCTGGACTGACCGTGGGTCAGTCGCAAGTTCCCTCAGAGCTGTTCTCTCAAGGGCAGTCCTCGAAAGAGCTCTCTCAGCCCCATCTACCTCAGAGAGGAAGGGAAAGGAGATTGTAAGCCGCTCTGAGACTCCTTTGGGTAGTGAAGGGTGGGGTATAAATCCAATCTCTTCCCTTCTCTCTCTTCTGAAAGAAAGCAAAGAGCTAGGTTCCAGTCCAATCGCACCTCAGAGACCAACGAGATTTTCCAGAACAAAGTCGGAGTCCAGTGGCACCTTTCAGACAGGCAAAGTTTTATTCTGGGTCTAAGCTCTGGTGTGCTTTTTCTCTCGATTTTCGAAAGCTCGCGCTCCGCAAATCTCGCAAGAATCCTGCAAAGAAACCCCGGCAACAACTCCCAAGAACGCGGCTAGATCTCGACTGTGCAGGTCCCCGTCAACCAGTCAAATATCTGACGGCGGCCGTTCATAAATAATCATCATTCATTTAATAATTTATAAATAACAACAATAGTGTTTATTCAGCGCTTCTTCTCTGGGGGAACACACCAGAACCTCTTCGACAAAATTCTTTTAAAAATGTTTAAAAGTTCATGAGTTTGCAGCACACAGATCAAAAACTGCATTTCCCTCTTGAGAGTTCCGGCACCTCTTTCCCCAAAAAACAGCTCTGTGTAGTAGTAATAATAATAATAGCAATAATAATAACAACAATAATAATAATTCATAGGTACATCAGAAGTAGCTGCGGTGGCTCAAGTGGTTCAGACGCTGAACTGCAGGCTGTGGAAGGTCGGTAGTTCAGCAGTTTGAGACCCGGGTGCCGCATGACGGAGTGAGCTCCCGTCTCTAGTTCCAGCTCCTGCCAACCTACCAGTTCGAAAGCAAGACATTGCAAGTAGATCAATAGGTACCACTTCAGTGGGAAGGTAACAGCGTTCCGTGCACCTTGATGTTTAGTCATGTCGGCCACATGACCACGGAAGCGTCTTCGGACAGCGCTGGCTCTTCGGCTTTGAAACAAAGATGAGCACCGCAACCCTAGAGCCGGACTCGACTGGCTTTCGAGCAAGGGAACCTTTACCTTTTACATCAGAAGCAATCTGAGAGCACTCAACACACACGCAGTGAGGATGATAATCACAGTAGCCATCCAATGCTCCCTCTAAGATGAGTCTTGTGAGCAAAAATTCTCCTTCGTGAGCGCCTGGCATTAAAGTTGTGGGCGAGCCATAAATAATAATAATAATATTTATTGCATTAGCAAGAAAGCCATAGCAACTGTACAGAATTAAAAAAAAAAAAGGGAGCCATAAATTAGGTTGCTCCGGAGCCACATCCTTCCTGAGCTAAAACAAAAAATGTGTGAGCCAGAGGCTAAAAAACAGTGAGCCAACTCACACTCACTCAAGTTTAGAGGGAACACCGGTCCCATCCTAATACTAAACTGGCAAAGGCTCGGATATGAAGCACAACGCCGGGAAGGCCTTTCCAAGGACCAGGATTCGTAATCCCGAATATCCCTGCCTGGCGACGACTCGGATGGCACTCTGGGCAGGCCAAAGTGGCGGGGGGCGGCCCGGGCAGAACTCCAGAAGGGGGGCCAGGCCGAGCTGCCGGTTCCTCCAGGGGGGAGCGGATCCCTGCAGCCTGGCGACGGGGTGTCCCTCCGGGAGGTCTCCCGGCCCCGCCGGGGGAGGGGGTGGAGAGAGCGAGAGAGCGACCTCCCGGCCGTGCGCCGCGGAGTGCGCTCTGCCTGCCTGCCTGGCTGCAGCCGCGGTCGGTCGGAGGCGGCGACGGAGGCGCGGGAGGGAGGGAAAGCGAAAGTGCGGGGCGGCCACGTGGTTTCCGAGAAGCGCGGAGCGGAGCCGGCGAGCAGGAAAAGCCGCGGCGGAGCTTCTTAAGCGGCAGAGGCGGCGATGAGCCGGAGGGACCCGCCGAGCTGCGGCCGCTGCAGAGGAGCCCGACGACGAGGCGCAGGAGCAGCCGGAGCCGGAGCCGCAGCCACCGCCGGGCCGAGCATGTTGCCGGCGCGGGCCCAGCTCGGGAGGAGGCGGAGGACGGCGACGCGGACAGCCCCCCGCCGGGACCGGGCCCAGCAGCAGCAGCAGCGCCCGCGGGCAGACGGTGAGGCCAGGAGCCCGCGGTTGGGGGACGGCGGGGGCGCATCGGCGCGCCCTGCCCGGCACGATTCGGGGTCGCGCGGAAAGGGCAACCGTGTGCCATGCCGGCATGCAAGGGGTCGGGACCCCGCTCGGATCCTGGACGGTTGCGGAGTGCCCAGCTGCAGCGGCGGAGGACTTCTCCAAACAGCGCTCCAGATGTTAGGGGAGAGGCCCCCCCCATGTGTTGCAGAGCAGAGCTGCAGGGCCAATGCTCCCTCTAAGCTGTGGAGTCTTGCGAGCAAAAATCCAACTTTGTGAGCTGCTACTGGCATGAAAGCAAATTTGGCTCCTGCATTAAATCGGTTTGCTCTGGAGCCGTCCATCCTTCCTGAGCGGAGACACAAACGTGTGAGCCGGAGGCTAAGAAACGGTGAGCTGGCTCACACTCAACTCAGCTTAGAGGGAACACTGCTGCAGGGACTGAGGGCTTCTCAAAGGCAGTGCTCCAGATGTTAGTCCCAGGCGGGGTATCCGCGTTGGTCTGAAGCAGCAGAACCAATTTAGAGTCCCCACCTTCCAGACCCAACACAGGTTTATTCCAGGTGTGACCTGTCATGTGCAAGGCACCCTTCTTCAGATCTCTTGCGGTGCCGAAGTGCCGGGGCTTGAGGACTTCTTAAAGACAATACTCCAGATGTTGGAGGAGACTGTTCCCTCTAAGCTGAGCTCGTGCGAGCTAGCTCACAGTTGTTTTAGCCTCCGGCTCACACATTTTTGTCTTGGCTCAGGAAGGAGGGCTCCAGAGCAAGCTAACTTATGCAGCAGCCAAACGGCTCGCTCACAACTTTAATCCTGGTAGATCACCGAGTAGAATTTTTGCTCAGAAGTCTCCACAGCTTAGAGGGAGCGTTGGAGGAGAGCCCCCAAATTTGTGGCAGCGCTGAGCGGCAGGGATTGAGGACTCGCCCCCCCTTTAAAATAGAAGCTTCCAGATGTTGGGGAGGTCTGACCTCTGTTGAGCCGCTGAACCGAAGGAACTGAGGGCGCTCCCCCTTTACAAGGCAGTGCTCCAGATGTTTGGGGGAGGCTCAAAAATCCGTGGCTAATGCCGAGCGCAGGGACTGGGGACTTTTCTCGGGCAGTGCTCCAGATATTCTGGGAGGCCCCAAATCCAATCCGTTCCAGTGCTGAACTGCAGGGATGGGGGCTTCTCCCCCTCTTTCCCCTAAGGCAGTGCACTCCAGGTGCTTTGGGAGGGCCCCAGATCTTTGCCGATTGCCTCTCTGCCCACAGCACCCCCCACCTACCCCCCCACGCTTCCCAGGGCTCCTGCACGCTCCCACTTTCCTCTGAGTTTTGTGCTTGTGGGTCAGGTGGGAGGCAGGGTGGAGTTCAGTGGGGCAGAGGCCGAGGCCCTTTTCCAAAGCAGAGGCGGATGATTAATACAGCCCCGTAGGTGGGTGTGAAGCCAGCTTCGGAATTGCACAGAGCTCTTCTCGAGGCGGGTGGGACGAAGGGTTTTGCTCAAGAGCCCACGTGGGAGACCCGCCTGGTGGGTTGCGACCGTGCTTCCAAGCGGTGGCATTCGCGAAGGGCTGAGCTTTTCCGGTTCTGGGAAGCCCATGACTCTGGAGAAGGGGGATCCGTCGTGTTTCCCAGCAGTGCTCCCTCTAAGCTGTGGAGTCTTGTGAGCAAAAATTCTACTTTGGGAGCTCCTGGCGTTACAGTTGTGAGCGAGCGATTTGGCTCCTGCATAAATTAGTTTGCTCTGGAGCCACATCCTTCCTGAGCAGAGACAAAAATGGGTGAGCCAGAGGCTAAAAAAACTGAACCGGCTCACACGAACTTCAGCTTAGAGGGAACACTGCTTGCCGCCCTCTTCTGCCCTGGGCCGCCCGACCTCCTTCCAAATTTTGTAAGCGTGCTTCGTCATTGGCGGGGCAGTGCAGAATTTCCGACTCCCAGTCTTATTCACCGTGGCTTGCCCAACAGTGAGACGCGATGACACAGACCTCGTGTTTGCACCTGGGGTGACCAGAGCGCCACGGCAGGATCGGAGCCCCAACCTTTAGCTCTTGGTTTCTCCCCCCCCCTTCCCTCCCTCTCTCCTTCTTCCTGACAGCACAGGAGAAAGCTCTCAGTCCTGCCAATAAAAACTTGGAATCCGGTAGCTCAGCCGCTGGCTAGAAATGCAGCTCAGGAAAGTCTCCAGGTACCTGAGAGAGTCAGTTTCTGAGAATGCGCGGCGGATTCTCGACTATCTGCCCGCCCAGATCTATAAACAGAGAGTGAGGGATAAATCCTGAAATCTATGCTTGCCAGTAAGGTCAAGGCGCGCAAGGGAGAGATATTGAACTGGGCTGTCTTGGGGAGACGGGCCAAGCATTCGTCCCTGGCTCAACACCCACCCGGTTTCCAGACACTGCACTGGGGGGGGAGGATTTGGCCCTGGCATTGAAAGATATATCAATAATAGGAAGCCATTTCAAGCTGGACCACTTAAAAGCGCAAGTGATGTCGAAAGAAAGAGAGAAAACCCTTGGAGCAGAAGGATGGATGCTTTGAGGTTGGCTGGTGTGTACTGGGTGAGATTATGGGATGGGGGCTAGGGAGGGGAGGGGCAACTCCTCCCGGTTGATTTCTGCTTCTTGAAGGAGATCGAGGATTACTCAGGAACTTGGCCGCTCCAAAGCCACACATTCGGTGGTGCACAAAGGGCCCCATTCATTCCGACCAGCTGTTTCCACTTTGGAGGACGAACAGCAGAGAGATCGCCTCCTTCCCTGCTGTGTTTCTCACACTCTGAAACCACATAAGCTGCGGCTTGAGCTTCAGCTTTGAGGCAGGGCCCGGGGTGGGGCGTGGCGGCAAGCCAGATCTTTTTTTTTTTTTTTTGGCTGTTAATTAACCATTCGGAAAGTTGGTGGAGAAGTTTGACACTTGGACTTTGCGCCTGGAGTGTGCGGGCTAAAATGGGAAAGGGACCAGGAAGCCGGACCACGAACCGTTTATCCCCCCTTTCCCCCTCCCTTACTGAAGGAGGGAAAGAAATAACTTTCCGGGTCCAGGTGCCATTTCTCACCCTTTTGGGAAACCGTTCTGGACGGCCGAGTTTCAGATGGGTGCTTGCAGTTTGAGAATGCTTGAGGGGAGAGAGAGCCGCTATCGGGTTTAATCAAGCTGATGGGAACAGCGGTCTTCTGAATAAGCGCTTCCCATCAATGGCCTTGTGATGCATTTTGCGGCCAGGAGAGGAAAACCACGTTCAGGCGCGTGCCGTGCGCCTCGCGATTAGCTAGCAGTTTCCTCTTGCCGGCTTTCTTGGCTTTCTCTGACAAGGGGAGCCGGCTCCGTTCGAGTCCAGCCGCACCTTTGAGACCCCCGCAAGACTTGTGGTCATAGACAGTGTTCCCTCTAAGCTGGGTTAGTGTGAGCTAGCTCACAGTTTTCTAGCCTCCGGCTCACACATTTTCTCAGCTCAGGAAGGATGGGGCTCCAGAGCAAACTGATTTATGCCGTAGCCAAATGGCTCGCTCAGAAATTTAATACCAGGAGCTCACAAAGTAGGATTTTTGCTCACAAGACTCCACAGCTTAGAGGGAGCATTGGTCATAGATCCAGAGGAGTCACACCTGTTAGTCTGTTGCTGCGAAACAGTAAAAAGCCCAGCAGCACCTTTAAGGCTAACAAACTTCATTTTAGCATAAGCTTTTGAGAAACACAGCTCTCTTCGTCGGATGCATCTGATGAAGAGAGCTGTGTTTCTCGAAAGCTTATGCTACAATAAAGTTTGTTAGCCTTAAAGGTGCTGCTGGGCTTTTTACTCCTTTTACAGGATTTATGGGACATCAGCTTTCGACAGTCATAGCGCTCTAAAATATTCTTGGTCTCTTAAGATGCCAGTGGACTCGAACCTGGCTCTTTGCTTTCTTTCAGAGGGTAGTCATGGCAGTCTGCCGTAGAGCAGCTAGATTATTTATTGATCTCGCGCCTTTCACCCCAGCGGGGCCCCAGAAGCAACTCACATCGTTTCCCTCTCCTCCATTTTCTCCTCACAACAACCCTGCGAGGTAGGTGAGGCTGAGAGTGTGTGACTGGCCCAAGGCCACCCAGCGAGCTTCCGGGGCACAAGTGGGGGATTCGGACCTGAATCTCCCAGATTCGAGTCTGGCACTTTAACCACCACTTTAACTACCCAGCAAGCTTCCAGGGCGCAAGTGGGGGATTCGGACCTGAATTTCCCAGATTCGAGGCCGACACTTTAACCGCCACACCATGCTGGCCCTCTTTGAGTCCAGTAGCCCCTTGGAGATGTACGAGAGATTTGGGGACCGAACTTCCAAGAGTCAAAGCTACCAAAAATCTTGCTAGGCTGTAAGGCACTTCTGAGCCCGGATCTTAGCTTTCTTTGTTTTCTCTTTCTAAGCCAGAGGGGAACGTGGCACGGCCTGCCTCCTCCAAATCCGCAGTTCTTTCGTCAGTGTCTTGGTGCTAAGTTGTTTATAGAGTGACTGACGTTTTTGGCTTGCTTTGCGGGGAATCTAACCGCCTCTTCTGTCTCGGCTTTCAGGAGCGCTCCAAGCCAGCCGCCCTTCCTTGGCCCCTGACACGATGGAAGACCACCCCGGCTGGTCTACGGTATAGAATGGTAGCGCATAGCAGCCTGACGCCTGAGAATGCCAGTGCGACGGAGCTGCGGCGGCGTCTGGAGCCCCCCGGGCGAGACCCTTCCTGGCCCCGGGTCCCCCACGGCCTGGCCAGTCCGGACACCCACTTCCACACCTTCCGCTCCCAGGCAGACTTCAGCAGCATCATCCACACCAGTGCCATGCTGGAGGCGTGCGGCTTCTACTGGGGGCCGTTGTCTGTCAGCGCTGCCCACGAGAAGCTCCGGGGGGAGCCGGTGGGCACCTTCCTCCTCCGGGACAGCCGGCAGAAGAACTGCTTCTTCACGGTTAGTGTTAAGACCGCCTCGGGCCCTACCAGCATCCGGGTCATCTTTCAGGCGGGCCGCTTCAGCTTGGACGGTAGCAAAGAGGATTTTGACTGTCTCTTCAAGCTGCTGGAACATTACGTGAGCTCCTCGCGGAAAGTCCTGGTCGCCCCCCTGCGCAAAGTCCGCATGCGCTCCTTGCAGGAACTGTGCCGCAAAAGCATCATGACCGCGCTCGGGGGAGAGAGTCTAAGCCGCGTCCCCCTCAATCCGGTTTTAAAGGATTACCTGGCGTCTTTTCCATTTAAGTTGTGAAAACTCTGCATTAAACCTCCATGAATGAGCGAGAAGGGCCAGCGGTACCTCCGGGCACTGGAGCATCGGGGTTCTCCCCCCACAAGTGTGGCCACTACAGTCTCAAGGGCCACATGGGAGGAATCCACTTGTGCATTGGAAAACGTGGTCCTAGGGGTTGTGGAAAAGGCTGAGCGCTTGGAAGGGTCTTCCGTGTGGTTGACAAATGCACGAAGAAATCCAACGTCTGGGTTTTCAGGAACTTATTGGACGCGAACCCGTCTATTTTTGTAGCAGTTCCGCTGGACTGGGTGACGGCGCTTGAGAACACTTGACTTTCGATGTTTACACACAAATGGGGGAAAAAAACTCTTTGCACAATTTGGGGCTCTGGGAAGCCCTGGGTGGGTGGTAATTTTCTGCTGTGCAGAATGTTTTGTAATTTTATATATATATAAATATATAATATTTTTTAAAGGGTGATAATAAAACTTTATTGTGAACTTTTTGTAAAAAACCCCAACAACCTTATTTTCTCTGGTCTTTAACTGCGTGGGATTCGGATTGAACCACTAAGGTGTGATATTTGTTAGTTTGGAGCAGGGTGCGGGTGGGATGGGTCAGACACCACCCCTCCCCGGTTACGAAGTCCGATTCTTAGTTTCGCCAGTTTGGTGTAGTGGTTAAGTGTGCGGACTCTAATCTGGGAGAACTGGGTTTGATTTCCCCACTCCTCCACTTGCAGCTGCTGGATGACCTTGGGCAAGCTGTAGTTCTGATAAGAGCTGTTCTTGAAAAAGAGCAGTTTCTGTCAGAGCTCTCTCAGCCCCACCTCCCTCCCAGGGTGTCTGTTGTGGGGAGGGGAAGGGAAAGGAGTTTGCAAGCAGTTCTGAGACACCTTTGGGTAGTGAAGGGCCATGGGGTATAAATCCAATCTCTTCTTCTTCTTCTATTGGGATGCTGGGATGAGAGCCAGTTTGGTGTAGTGGTTAAGTGTGCGGACTCTAATCTGGGAGAACTGGGTTTGATTTCCCCACTCCTCCACTTGCACCTGCTGGATGACCTTGGGCAAGCCGTAGTTCTGACAAGAGCTGTCCTTGAAAGGGCAGTTCTCTCAGAGCTCTCTCGGCCCCACCTTCCTCACAGGGTGTCTGTTGCGGGGAGGGGAAGGGAAAGGAGTTTGTAAGCCGCTCTGAGACTCCGAGTGAAGGGCAGGGGGTATAAGTCCAATCTCTTCTTCTTCTGTAACAAGTATTTGGCCTCAGAGATCCCTAAGGAAAATGTAAGATAAATTTTTTTAAAAAGTACTCAACTTCTAATTCCCACAAAATCCTACAGTCTTATCACATCCTGCACTAAGTCGCAGCCAACTTAAGCTGACCCATCGAGGGGCTTTCAAGGCATGAGATGGACAGATGTGGTTTGCCATTGCCTGCCTCTGCATAGTGGCCTCCTCAGTCATCTCCCGTGCGAGTACCAACCAGGGCTGATGAACCAGGGCTAGCCTGAACCACTCCAGGTCAGGTCTGTCCCTCCTTAGTGGTCTCTTTTCTAAATGGAAAAGTCTCAGGCTCTCCAAGCCTTTCCTCCCTGGAAAGACACTTCCAACCAATGCTCCCTCTAAGCTGTGGAGTCTTGTGAGCAAAAATACTACTTTGTGAGCTACTGGCATTAAAGTTCTGAGCGAGCAATTTGGCTGCTGCATAAGTTAGTTTGCTCTGGAGCCATCCTGCCTGAGCTAAGACAGAAATGTGTGAGCTGGAGGCTAAAAAACTATGAGCTAGCTCACACTAACTCAGCTTAGTTTTAATCATCTTCTTTGCCCTCTTCTGCGGTATCCCCAGAACTGTGCACTGTACTTCAAAGGAGGACCCATCCTGGCTCTGTTCACAGGCGTTAAAGTATCAGGTGCTTTGCTTGCAGCCATTCCCCTAGTTATTCCAGCTGTGGCGTTTGCCTCTTTCACCACCCCTGCTGTTGACATTTTCATCGAGCTGTCCACTACAACCCCAAGATCTCGCTCACGCAGTCTGTGCTGGTTCAGACCCCTTAACTGTCAGCTGCTGCCACTGGGTACAGTCCCCAGGACCTCCTGCTTGTAGAACAAGTACCATTCCACGGGACTAAAACGGTCAGAGCAGAACAGCTTGTTGCTGTACAGTTCAACGTGCCAGTCCAGCCCTTCTTAAGCAGGCCTGTAGGCAGGATTTTGTGGCTTTTGGCAAGTGCTGGCGAAACGCCAGATGCTACAATGCCAAGACCACGGCCATAGAGCCCAGAAAATCTACAACAACTAATTATTTTTCTGGTGGGGCCGAAGTTCTCAGGGCAGAAAGAAAAGCCATTTAGCCGATAGAAAAGCTGTTACCAGGATAGATCTCTGAATTGCAACCACTTCAGGTGACAGCTCTCAGCTGCTGCAAGTTAATCACTTCTGCCAGCCTACGCCACAATCCTGAGAACAAGTTGGCAGGTGGGGGTGATGACTTCTATAGTCAAGAAAACATAACACTTAGGCAGGAAAACTTTCTGAAAGGAGACCAGTTTCTTGACACAGAGTTAGAAGGGGAGACTAGAGGTCACCTACTCCAACCTCCTTGCTCAGTGTGGGAATTAGTCAACTCCAAAACCCCAGTCTGCTTAAAGGAATGCACACCTTTTTAAAAATGTTTTTAAATTATTGAAAAAAGCATTTACAGGAGACATTCTTGTGGGGCTGTGTCTTTAAGAAAGGGGGCAGAGCCCCCCGAAGCCCCACTGTTGCTATGGGCCTTTTCTTAAGACGTTGGCCGTGATCTTTTATATGTGCTGTGAGAGTCATGGAGACACAGAGACTATCTTTGGGGGAAGAATGCTGGAGACGTGCGCTTCTAGCTTCACGAAGTTTCAGCAGATAGGATTCAAGAACCTGGAATTCGAGGCCAGATTCACAAAGAAGCATTCCATTTCCCCACCTTTGCCCTCCCACGCATTTTCCCCGTCTGCAGGATATTCTTTCTGCTTTGGTACACCTGGTGAGCAGTTCGGAAAAATGACGCCCAGTTTGCCAAAGGGATGCAGTTTGTGTCTCGTTCAGCTAAAGGTACGGGCCTCTGGATGCTGCCTCGCCTGACTTGTTGCCACGTTTCGTCCTGCGAAAAGATAACCAAGCTGCAAATGTGACGGCCCATCGTGACGGGTTTCCCAGGGTCTTGCAAGCCACAGCTTAGGGAGGGAAGAGCCGGTCCATCCATTAGACGCACCTAGGCAGTTGCCTAGGGCGCCAGGGTTGGAGGGCCGCCCAAACCAGCCCTGTAGTGTTCTCCCTCCCTCTTTGGAGTTGGGGCCTTTTTGCCTCCCAAATCTGGCCCCGCTGAGAGGTGCAGCCTCCACCGGCGTTAGCAGGGATACAGTTTCCCCGTGGGATGCAATGGGGGGGGGGGATGGACAGCAATGCTCCCTCTAAGCTGTGGAGTCTTGTGAGCAAAAATTCTACTTTGTGGGCTACCGGCATGAAAGTTCTGGGTGGGTGATTTAGCAGCCGCAAAAATTAGTTTGCTCCGGAGTCGTCCCTGCTGGAGCGAAGACGCAACTGAGCTGGAGGCTAAAAAAACTGTGAGCTGGCTCACACTGACTCAGCGTAGAGGGAACACTGATGGACAGCGTCCCCTACACTGCAGGGGTGTGTACGTGAAGTCCTTTGCCTTGGGATGGCCCTGCTGGAGGGAGGCATCAGGGTTGCCAGAGGGCAGAAGGTGGCTAGGATGGGCACCTGCATCCTGCCCCATGACGCCCCTTTCCCCCGGCCCAGGGCAACTGAGCTGTTTGCTTCTATGAAGCTGGACAAAGCGGCAACAATGAAGCCCCCCCCACACACACACACAGGGGGGACCTCTTTTCTTGTCCCCTCGCCATGTTTAGGAGCAGATAGTTTTTTGGCCAGAGCCGTGAAATAGCACAACACGGCCCTGATGTGACCGACCAGAGTCGTCCTCCTTTACGAGGCAGAAGACAGGGACAGTTGGGTAAAGGATCGGGACCAACAGGGTTCAGCGTCAAAAAAATCGTTTGCCTTGGAAGTACAGAAGCTTTAGGCAGTACCCTGGATCCTCCACATTTCCCGGTTAACGGGAAGATGCTGTCCAAACCAATTACAAAGATGATCTGACGCGAACGGTAACGAAGGAAAGAAATTCTGCTTACAAAAATAGAAGCACATCTTGCAGGACATATTCATGTAGGCGCATCTAACTTATTGTGAACAGATTAACTTCTAAAAACGTTGGTTTGCCACAGCTCCAAGCCCAGGTAGAAAGAGAAGAGAGGTCCTATATAAGAAGAAGAGAATGGATTTATACCTTGCCCTTCACTACCCAAGGGAGTCTCAGACCGGGTTACAATCTCCTTTCCCTTCCCTTCCCCTCCCCACGACAGGCACCCTGTAAGGCAGGTGGGGCTGAGGGAGCTCTGACAGAAACTGCTCTTTTTTCAAGAACAGCTCTGATGGAACCATGGCTTGCCCAAGGTCATTCAGCAGGTGCAAGTGGAGGAGTGGGGAATCAAACCCGTTTCTCCCAGATTAGAGTCCGCGCACTTAACCACTACACCAAACTGGCTCTCTTTCAAGGACAGCTCTTATCAGAACTAGGGCTTGCCCAAGGTCAGCCAGCAGGTGCAAGTGGAGGAGTGGGGAATCAAACCTGGTTCTACCAGATTAGAGTCTGTGCACTTAACCACTAAACCAAACTGGCTCTTTTTCAAGGACAGCTCTTATCAGAACTACGGCTTGCCCAAGGTCATCCAGCAGGTGCAAGTGGAGGAGTGGGGAATCAAACCCAGTTCTCCCAGATTAGAGTCCGCGCACTTAACCACGACACCAAACTGGCTCTCTTTCAAGGACAGCTCTTATCAGAACTATGGCTTGCCCAAGGTCATCCAGCAGGTGCAAGTGGAGGAGTGGGGAATCAAACCCGGTTCTCCCAGATTAGAGTCCGTGCACTTAACCACTACACCAAACTGGCTCTCTTTCAAGAACAGCTCTGATAGAACTAGGGCTTGCCCAAAGTCATCCAGCAGGGGCAAGTGGAGGAGTGGGGAATCAAACCCGGTTCTCCCAGATTAGAGTCCGCGCACTTCACCACTACACCAAGCTGGCTCTCACACCAAAGTGGGAAAGCAAGCGAGGGTCAAGGAGGCTCAACATCTAACCGGCGAGAGGGTGGCGCCAACTGCCAAGTGTACCTGAGTGAGGGAGAATTCTCCTCACCCTTTCCCTCCCAGGTCCTCTGGCAAGCAGAGTTGCAATGCCCAACGCAGGGAACGTGTCCTTTAATGACCCGGCTGCTCACAGGAGAAGACAGCCGCTCTCAGCCAAGGAGTTGCGCACGGATGCTCACGCATGAGGATTTCTGCTGGCGCACAGGG